CACATTTTTAAAATTTATAAAATCATAGAATTAGGGACGGGTTGTCACAACTTAGAGTAGTAACTTTACCAATTAAAATTTCTAATTTCACAAGCAATTGCATATATAAAATACAAACTCTCAATATATATAACAATAAATAACATGTACAAATATTAAATCGAGGTACCCATTCTATGATAACTCTCAACAATCCCCCCTCCATTTTCCTTCCTTTAGTAAAAGTAGCAATTATTCCAACAAAGACCACTATTCATCAACAGTAAAAGCAAGTCACCATCCATCCCGTGCTTCCACAGTAAAGCAATCAATCATCTAAGTCTCTCTTTCAAGTCTTTAAGAAGATGTCTCCAGAGAAGAAGAAACCAAGTTAAATTTTTCATTTTCTCAGTCAAAAATTTCTTTAAGTTCATACTATACCCAAAGAAATCAAAATTGTAAATACTTTTAATTTTCAAATGTCAAGGATGCTTGGGTGCACCAATATCCTTTTCACCAGTCAATTTCTTATTTGCTGAGTCAATCGTCAGTAAATTAATTGTAAGTTTCAGTGTAAATTTTGCAATAAAATTTATTTTCAAATTATAATTGCATCATTATTTTGAATTCATTGTTTTCATTATGAATATTTTCATAACAACTAATTTTGGATGGCATAAAATTCTTACTCATAGTCAATTCATCGAATAGCTCAAATTCTAGGTAAATACAGATCAATCATTTGTTCAATTCTTTTTATTCATTTATAACAATTGGTTCCATGACATATTTAATCCTGGTTATCCTCCACATCAAGTTTCCAATTATTCAATTAACAATTCATTCAATTATGATCATCATTGCCCTTAGTTTAATTGTGCTACACACACACACGCGCGCGCGCGCGCGCACACACACACATAGGAAGCCTTTAAGGGAAGAGATCCTATTTTTCAAAAAAAAAAAAAAATGGGGACATCCTCTTGCCATTTAGATTTGGTTTTAATAAAATCTTGTGGTTAAGATTATGTGGCCTGTGATTTAATCTCAGCCACAAAATTTCATTAAAGTCAAGTTTAATGGTCAAGAGGATGTCCTTATTTTTTTTGAAAAATGGGGATCCCTACCCTTAAAGGCCTGTGTGTGTGTGTGTGTGTATGATAAGATTGTAGGCATTACATATAAAATTAAAGTTAAAAGACCAACTCCAATGGTTGAGTTAAAACTTATAAACTAAATTTTAGGTTTTAAATCCACCGAATCTCCTTCAATAATCTAAAATTTGAGATTGAGATAAAACTTAAAATTTGGGTAGATTTATCCAACAAAATAAGCCAGGTTAGCGGCGGGCCCACCATGATGAGCATGAATGTGCACGAAAGCTGAAACCACATCGCTTTGCTTTCTTGCATGCGGCAAAGTTGCAGGGGGTGCAATCCATCACTGATAGCTTTGTCTACCACCTTATCCCATCCAACGACTATTTTGTAATCTAATGGTTGTAGAGATTGTACCGCTGGTTGATTTAACAGTCTAGATTCACACTTTTTTTTAATCTAAAATATAGTTTATAAATACATTAATTTCAGCGGTTGATATCAAATATGATTAAATCTAACAGTAAAAAAAAATCTAACCAAAATTAAATCCAAGGACTAAATAATAATAAAATAATTATTTTAATCAAATTTCACTACAAATTGAAGCATATTTAATTATTTTTATATTATTTAACGGAATCTTCATATTTATAAATTAAGATGTTCTTAAAAAGAAATTAAGATATCCACACAAAATTATATTTAATATTTTTGGGCTAATTTTAAGTTAAAATCATTGAAGGAGCAAAACTTTTTTTCGGCCAAACTAAAATTTTTCAGATTAAAATTAAAATTTTAACTCCAATTATTGAAGTTGGCCAAGCATTCTCAATTTATAAATTTGGTCTAAAGAGGTCTCAGCTCTCAAGTTATAAACTTTTAGGGGGGTTGTAGTCAAACTAAGATTTTAAAGAATTTTAAAAATGATAGATTTGATAGGATCTAGGAGGGTTTAAGACTCCTACAAAATTCATATGGATTTTAAAGAATTTGAATAAATCTAGTTTGTAGATTTTGGTGGTCGCATCTAAGTAGTGACATTCTATTCATGAGATCATATATATATACATGCATTAATAATTCCAAAAAGTGCTTCCTTCGTTTAAAACATATGCAAGTGGCACGTGTACATGTTTACATCAATCTTCTCACATATACCTAGTGTAGGGAGTGTAGTCAGAAAATCTGAGTGAAAATAGAGAGTATATCCGGTGAGGAATTGAGGGAATTCTCTAAGGCATGTTACTACATTCAAAATGTTGTTTTAATTGATTAAATGTGAGCTAGTGAATGGTGACTATGATTAAGTATGTTCAAGGGTAAGGATTGCCTAAATCTATGAGAGTGGTGATCTTTGACATGTTATGTTTTATTGGAAGTCCCTGAGGCAAACGTTGGAAGGTTTAGATTGTTTGTTTTGTTCTTTTGTTTGTTTGTTTTGCTCGAGGACTAGCAAAAGCCAAGTGTGGGGGAATTTGATAGGAGCATATTTATGCAACTTAGTTAGCTTGTTTTTGTGCATTTGTGTTGTTATTTCTTAGTTAATGTAGTATTTCAAGTCACTTTCGTGTGTTTGTAGGGCCAAAGGGTTAAAGTACCAAGAAAGTGCATTTTGGTGCATTTTGGAGCAGTTTTGGGCACTAAATGGATAGCTTGTATATGGAGCAAGGTGGATGGATGAATTTGAAGTCAAAAGAGGCTAGGAACATGATACAAATCAGAAAATGAAAGTTTAAGACAAAGAAGATAAGGAAATAGCAAGAAATATGGAAACTTATCCTAACAACCTTATCTTATCCAAACCTTATTCTATCTTATCCTAACCTAATCTTGTTCCACCTTAATCCTAGCTGCAAGTGGACCTAAAAACATGATTTCTAGAAGCCTTCTCTGACCCTAAAAGGGTGCCGCACCCTTCCCCCTTTTATCTCTTCTAGAAAACCCAAAATCAGCCACAAAACACCTAGTTTCTAGAAGGCCCAATTTTGGACGAATTTCCTAAACCTTTTCCCTTATGGATTCTGATTTATTAGGCCTCATTCCTTGTGGATTTGGGTTACACAAATCCTTTTATGAAATTAATTGGGCCAAACACTCTCCTAAGTGGATTTAAGTTACTTGTGCCGAACCCTAGGGCCCTAATTCATAAAATCTACTAAGTTGTAACCCTAATCTAATTAACCCTAGGGTTGGCCAAACTATATATTCACATTTTCAGCCACAAATTCGTATGAACCCTTTATGCTATTCAGAAAACCCTTGCCGCAAGCCTTAGACCCCATTCTCCATCATTCATACACTCCATTCACATCTATCTAATATTGAAAAAAAAAAAAAAAAGGGAAAAATCTATCCCCTTGCCCTATTTTACTCGATAGCCACTTTATCCCCTTCTTTTTTGGGTCCTCTTTCACACAACCATGACTCCATCTTTTTCTCAATTGATAGATCAACATAACTTTGGTGAGCTTTAGAACACTACACCACTGACTGCCCTTTTGCCACAGACGTACGATGTGGTACATGTGTGTGGCTGGGGTTGGTAGAGATTTGAGGACTGCCCAGATGGAAAAGGATTTGAAATCTTAGGGGGTGAGATTCCACCAAAGTATATGGTGGTTACCTGTGTGTGGCTAGGGTTGATAGAGATTTGAAGACTGCCCAGATGGAAAAGGATTTGAAATCTTAGGGGGTGAGGTTGAATTCTTTTTAGTTTTGGTTATATATACTTCTTGCTCTCAAATCTCATAAAATCCACAACTTAATGAAAATCCTTCAAAATCTTAATTTTTTGAATACACTTAGATTTGGATGGATTTTAAAATTTTTTAATTGACTATACCTAGATTTGAATAGATTCTAAAATCCTTTAAAATTCTCTCAAATCTGAGTTTGATTACACACATCTTAATTGGGTAAGTCAAAGTGACACTGGTAAGTTTTGCATAGGTCTCTTTTAAGGAGTAGGATTCTCTTCCTTTTTATTTTCATTCTCTTTTCTCTCCTCCTCTCGCATATTTTTTTGTTTTATTATCTTTATAAAAAAATTAATATAAAATATTAACGTAATTAAATCGTAACCGTTCAATTAAAATGGAAGGAAGAAGAGAGAAATTAAAAAGGAAGAGAAACCTCCTTCCTCTGTGAAATTATTTTTCTTCTCGCCAACTTCACGATAGCACACCATTGGACAAGTCACAAAGCTACGCACACAGACACTGTCCTCTCTCTTTCTCTCTCGCTGAGAAAAACAGCTTAAAGATTCTTCCTAGGCAATCATTCACCAAAATTAGCCCAACCGTTGAAGCCCGCGTAGACTCTCTCTCTTCCTCCTTCGCTGTCCCTCTCTGTTTCTGAGAAGGTGGCGAAGATAACAAAAAAAAAAAAGAGCCCACTCTTCCCCCACTATACGTTCCAACTGCCCATTTGATTCATTCTTCCAATTCTCGACAGCAAACTCACAAACACGTACGATTCCTTTTGCCCAAAAGCCTTCTCCTTTCTGCCACTAATTTGAACTTGCAATCAAGCAATTCCGACCAATCCACCATTTGACCTATTAGTTTTTATTCTGCTGAAGGTTAAATCGCAATCCGGATTGGAACAAGATCAATTGAGTTCATCCCCAAAAAACCCTAGACCTCTGGGGGCCATATCTATCAGGAACCCAGATTTCTGAGGCAGGCCCCAGGCGGACGAAATCGAGCATTTGGGGCCGAACCCATTTGACCCTTTTGGTCGAATTGTGAAAGGAAGAGGAAACTGATTCGAAAACTGCTCAGATTCAGAAACCGTAAGGTATTCCCTTTCTTTTGTTCTTTGAATTCAGAGCCGATGAGAAGGAAATTTGGAATTTTGGGTTAGACCCAGATGCGAGAGTTCTCTGGAAAACAAAATCCAAGCCCTAATTTTCCTTGAGAGTGTGAGTCCTGTGGTTGTTGTTTTGATGGAGCTGCCATTTTCAAGCTTAGTCTTTGTGGTTTTGTGGTTTTCTATTAGCCACTGTACTCTTCTCGTCCAGTCTCAATCTCAAAATGGAACCGTCTCGAAACCCCCACCGCCACCATCTTCGCAACCCCTACCGCCACTCCCACCGCCACCATCGCCACCGCCTCCGCAATCTTCGACCCTGTCACCGCCACCTCCCGAATCTCCGACCCCGCCTCCAAACCCACCGCCTCTTCCAGAATCTCCGAACATGCCATCCCCATCAGAATCTCCCCTGCCACCCGATCGGCCTCCAAATCAGATCAGTTCCAATAATGATTCGAAGAGGCCTCCTCCCCCACCATATAAGGGGCAGAAGCCTAAAAGTGGTCGTCGTGAACATTCTCTGCCGCCCCAGCGAGGGCACAAGTACAACGCGGGGAAGAAGATTGGGCTGCTATTTGTTGGTACCGCTTCTATTCTTCAGATTGGGGTAATTGGGTTCTTGGTTTTCAAGAGAAGGCAGCTTCTAAAAGTCAAGGATAGATATGGGACTTGTTCTTGAATATTTTGGTATCAGATTTCACGCAAATTCTTTTGTTTCGCTGAGCGCATTGCATTGGAAGTTCTTCGATTGAGCACATCATACTGGGGCTTTTACTGAATTTTCTTTGGTGAACGGGCGGCAGTGTATGAATCACAGACAGATCTATATGGATTGCAAATGGAATGGGGGATTGGTGGCTGCTCCGATCGGACTCCTCGCAGTTGCTCTGTAAATGTGTTATTGTTGCTTGAAATTTTCTTCATGTTTCTTTCTTTTTATGTTGATTTTTTTTTTTGTTCCTTGGCTTGTTTACACGGCTTATAATTTAAAGCACAAGAAACCATTTTAGGATTTGTGTCTTGAGCTACTGCCCTTTATTTTTGTCCCTGCTAACTTTTGACCTTCTGACTGTATAACATTGTAGAAATCATGGAGAATTACATGACAATATCTAATTTTCTCCCTTTACGATGATATCTGGTTTTCTAATGGTAGGAACTGCAATTATAATATCTAAATTTTTCTCTTTGCATGAATATATCCAATTGTTGTCTTGACTATTGATATCTTGATATATTGGTCTCACTATGGAACATTTGTTGACGGTGCGGTTGACTTCTGCATGACAATGCTAGACTTAGGACTTGGGAGTAATTGCTAGAAACTCTGATTTTTGTTTTCTGGTAGTATTTGAAAAATGTTTCATAGCAATTTCACTTCAGAAACTGGAACTAGCTGCATCTGATGCATGCCTGAAAAGAGGTTTGTTTTGTATATATGTAGGGGAACAGCTTGTTTTGAATATGTTTAGGAGATCAGCCACCATTGAAGTAGGAAGTGTAGCAGCTAAGTATATTGTCAGAAGTTAGCCTTGACATGAAAACACTGCAAGATGCATGTGTTGATCCTGGTACAATGGAAAATACATGTTCCGTACCCAGTTTTATTGCTTCCTGCAAAGTTGAATTGTTCATAGCAGTTTCCGGTTCCTAAATTGTTTCTCAGCTTGAACATGCGAGTGCAAGATGTGAATTACATGTCATGTTCCTTGAAATGGAATTAGATGTGAGTTTGATTTTTCATGTTTCTCAGCCTGAACCTTCTTATTTTTCTCACTCTGCATTGGAGTCTTCTCATGTATACATTCCTAGTTATGGAAAAAATGTTTACAGACTCAACCTTTGCTGCGGAAACTGGGTTTATCTGATTTAAATGTGTCATGTTCCCAGAAGATATATTTGTGGATGGGAGCCTTATTCAAACATTTACTGTTCATGTTTTCCCGGTTCATGATAGTTTCCTTGATGCATTGTGCTGTATTGGAGGAAGATATGTAATGGTTGTTTGATTTACCTTATTAATTGATTGTCACGGACATGGATTGGGTGAATGAATTATCAATCTGCAGCTGGTTTTGTGTTCAGCGCGACATGTTGAGTCCGGTGGTACAGATTTTTGAAGAGGTCTTCATACCATTTGCTTTGTGCCTACATTGTGGAAGAACTACTGCCATCCCCTCGTTTTACCAAGGATATGCTGGTCATCGACTTTATCTTTTCTCTATTATGTTAACGTTCGAAGTTGTAGATCAGCGCAAGAGAAAAGGGAAGGCGACGGTGATCTATTCTGAGTGATACTCGTGCTTGCTTGCTTGCTTCCATGGAGCACGATGAAGGGCTCATCTCGCGATGAGAAAGAAGGCAGCTACCCAGTTTCCATGCAATAGCTGTGAACTGGGCAGTGGGCACCAATCTGTGGAATATGATTCATCACGGAGGACAATGTGGGCTATGTGCACGGAATATGGTTTGTTGGATATGATATGATAGTTTCCTTAGTTGTAACTTGGAATTGACTGGCCAAATTTTGCCCATTTTCTCAACCGAAAATTGGAAAAACATAGTCTGGCCGTATCAAGTGCATTTGTGTTTTGCCTAGTCGTCTGAATGCCAAGACCTTTGATTCTTGAAGGAGCATCTGGTGTGCTTTTAAAACACTCCATCCTAAATATTCCCCATCTAAGGGATGCGATGCTCCATCATAATATGAAACCCAAACCAAGATGTCACGTTATGTTAAGACTTCTATTCTTTGACCAGACGATCTATGTCTAAATACTCTAGTTTATGCACAAGGGATTCCCTCTTGGGTGTAAACTGCTTTAGCCATCTTAAAAGCATTTCTAATTCTTGGGTTAAAAAGGAACCCAATCCTTGTCCAATGGTTGAACAAAATAAGTTTAGGATTAAAACTTAAAATTTGGACACATTTAACTCAGAATTTAGGCAGGGTTAAAAAGGTTGGCTCACGAAACTTTAGGTTTTAAACTAACACAATTCTTTTTCAGTGGTTTGAATCTAAAATATGTTTTGGGTTAAAATCTAAAATTTGGGGCTATATTAAAATTTTACATATATTGAAGTCAAATATGATCAAACCTAAATATTTTTAGATTAAAATATTCATAAAAATAATAATCTACTTAAATTCAATTTTGAAAAAAGTTACCAAAAAAAAGTTTAGCTTAAATTCATTCTTTAACAATCTCGTGCTAGTAAAAAAAAAAACAGTTTCTAGGTTAAAACCTAAATTTTCTGAGTTAAAAATTTTTGGTTTTAACCAAAGAGTTGAAAATGGTAAGTACTCTAGTTTAAGGAGAAGGAGATTCCCTCTTGAGTGCAAAGGAATTGCACACTACACTACCAGCATCACATATTATGTTTTTTATTTTTTATTATTTTTTTGAAATAAACAATATTACTTACAATAAAGAGGTGGGGGATGTCGCATGTTACGTTAGACTTTATATTACCAACTTTCACACTGCTCACTCAAGTTGAATTTCTGTCCGCGTAGGCGTGACCCAAAAAACCTAAGGCGCCCCAAAGGGAAACCTGGGCCCAACAAATAAAAAGCAAGTCCAGAAGATCAACCCAAAACACAGTCAACAAAGAAGATGAAGAAACTAGGTAAACAACCAACCAAAATAAGCAAGTTTAATCATACAAAACTCATTAGGATCCGTTTTCTGTAGTCGGTATTTTGCTCATAAACGTTTTTGTTCGAAGTAGGACAAAGTTTATATTTTAAATCCGAAATGTTTTATAAAAACACATGACAGTGATTTTATAATTTCATAATTAATTTTAAATTTTTGTATCAAACATCGCTAGAAGTGCTCGGGCCTGTGTCATCAAATCCCTTCTCATGTATGACAAGGGGATGTTTCATTAATGCTCTCTCATGCAGACAATTAGCAGACCAAGATATGTCATCTGATGATCCATGAAAAGAAACGGTGGTTTAACAGCTCGCTCGCTCACTCACATGATCCAATCCAAGTGTGTAGCTTGGACGTTGGAAAAGTAATATAATGGCCATGAGATTCAAGAAAAGAGAAGACACCGTTATCGTATGATGGATGAGAAAGATAACAAGATTTTAGAAAGACGGATTAACAATCCATTATTAACAACATTTAGTTGTTTTAGTTGTCTTTTATCAATTAAATAGATAATGCCTCTCTTACTAATCACATCTATATTGTTCTTTAACTTTATTTTACGAGTTTTGTTACGTAAGGTTTCGATGTGATTACAAAGAAAGTTACTAAATATAAATCAAATAATGATGAGCCTTTGAAAAACACACAAAGGGTCCCATAGATAAAAGTGGGAAAAGAGCCAATTCATTGCAATGTTCCCCTGGAGTGGAGTGGGGTGGAGGCCCCATATCATATAGCAATTCAAAATGCTTCCGGTCAAACAAGCAAGTCCATAAATATCAGACATGTTCCTCAGAGGGGTGGAAAGCAGAAGAAGAAGATGATGATGAAATATATCAAACAAAGCAAAAAGACAGCAATGCTCCTGTGTGCATGGGGCCCTACATTATTCACTCACACACTCACTCACTCACAAAGCCTTCACTCTTCAGCAACAAATTAAAGACCGCTCCCTAGCCACCAGCTGAATTTAGAAAAAGTCCAATGACCCACCGACGGCAAGTACTCCTTTGGCCTTCAAAATTAAGTCTCCACAAATGAAACACTTTATTATTAACCATCTGCACCACCAGAAAGGACAGTTGTTTCAAATTAAAGAACCAAAGAGATGAATAATGAGAAGTATTGGGACCAGAAAGTAAATCGAATTTACCATTAGGACCTCCAGAATTGGAAGCAAGATCAAGCCAGGTGTCTCCAGAGCTCTTGGTTGGCTGCTGCCACTCTCCAAAGAAGTGGTGAAGTGACTTTTGGGATTCAGCTGCTGCTGCTGCTGCTGCTGATTCTTTCTCTGTTTGAACTGATTTGAAATCAGTCCCCCAAACAAAACAATGTTGCTGTTGGTCCTCCTGTGATTGTTGGGTGGGGGAGTAGCCTCTGTAGGAATTCATTAATAAGTTTCTTTCATCTGCTGAAGAATCTGGAAAGAAAGCTAGCTCATCCACACCTTCCTTTGCTCCTTGAAGATACCTATTTAACAAAAGAAAGATCAAAACTTACGAGAAAAAATGAACACTAAGACCAAAATAAATCATGGGTTTTATTTGGCTTAGCTTATAACTAATACACTAACCTGTAAAAAAATTATCAAAAAGTTCAAAACTATGAGAGAAATTGAAAAAACAAGACAAGAATAAGATATGGGTCTGATTTAGTTTTGCTTAAAAAACAAAGCTATAAGAAAGATCAAAACTTTAGGAAAAATTTGAAAAACAAGACAAAATAAATAATGGGTTTTTTTTTGGTTTTGCATAAGTAATCAACACAAACCTGTAATCTTTATCTGAATAAGATGCAGAGTTCAGAAAAAGCTGAGGGGCAGAACTGGAAGAGGAGGAAGAATAAGGATAATTAAGGAAAGGGTAGAGAGATGAATTTGACTGGTGGGTTTGTTGAGTGGAGATTGATGAGGAGAGTGGAGTGAGGGTGTAGGAGGAAGAGGAGGTTTTGCAGAGGTTTCTGTGAAGGGAAGATGATGATGGTGAGGTGGCAGAAGGAGAAGAAAGGTGCTCAGCTGTTGCTGTGGATGCTGCAGTAGGAGATGATAATGCAGAAGAAGAAGAGGAAACTTCCACAGGCTTTCTTGAACGGTTTCTGCCTCTGTGCATGTGCCTCTCGCAGTACTTGGAATCTGGATACGCTTCCTTTGAACACCTCCATTTTTTGCCATCTGTTCTTCTGCACCTTCCTGGCTCTGGGTCTACTTTTCTGCCAAATCCCATCTCATAGCACCCCCATCCCACTGCACACACCCACACAGTTACCTTAGACACCCAAAATTACAAAAAAAAAAAATGTAAAATAAATTACAAGAGTCAACTTTTTATTTAAAAATCCAGTAAAAAACTTACTGGGGTGATGGGGGAAGAGTCTTGAGGAAATGGAGGAGTCCAACCTTCTTTTGAAAGAGTAGACAAGGTCATTCGGGATGGGGACTCCTGAGGCCATGTACTTGAAGATTAGGGCCTGATGTTCTAGCTCTTGCCACTGAGTTGCTGTGAAAGGATACCTATTTCTTGCTGCACTACTTGGATTTCCACTCATCATTTTCACTTTTTCAAAGGGAAAAAACCAACAAAAATAAAGGACTAAAACCCTAAAATGTTACCAAGATGAAGAAAAACAAGTTAAAAAAAGGGCAGAGGAATAACAAAGGTTTGGAGATTTTGTAGACGAAGTAAAAATTGTGTGTTTATGTAGAGTTGAAGATTTTGGTTAATCCATTGGTTTTTGCAGGGTGTTTATATGCATGGGGCGAAACTAATTCAATGGCTGTGATGATGTGTGATGACACACTTTCTCTCTCTACCCTCTGAGTCTTCTGACGAAGTTTTCTGCTCTTTATTATGACTGCAACTCTGTTGGTGCTACTGGCTCTGCAGCTCTACAGAAGCTGCCTCTGCGCAATACTCACATGAGTGTGGGCCCACGTATGACCTCTGTATGGTCCCACGTGCGTAGTGTAGGCCAAACGGGGGAAGGACCTCACTGTGTCTCCACTGGGGTCCGGATAGCTGCTCCTTCTTGCCGCCCTGTTTCTCAATCTCTACACGACAGAAAAATTCATTAAAACTAAAGGATGAGTAATAGACTAAATTTATGAAATAAATTTGCAAATTAAATAATATCATAAATAAAAAGTAAAGACGTCAATTAAGAGTTAGCACGCAGGTTGACATCGGTGATGTTCACCTCTGTACCTAGGGAGAGCAATTGTGCTGGCCATTAGATGGCTAAGTGTGTTTTTAAGGAGGGTCGTGCTTTTATCTGGGATTGTATCGTTTCAGATTTTTTATTTAACAGTCTAGCTAAGGATGTAAACGTTTTCATTCGTCTTTAACATACTTTATCTAATGAAAAAAAAAAAATTTAGGCAAATGTTATTGTCACTTCAAAAATCACATTTTACATTTCTTACAAATATAAAAATTTGAAATATAAAATAAAAATTTTAAAATATTAATAACAATTCTCATAATTTAATTAAATTTAATCTACAAACTTTTATGTTAATTAATTTATAAAATTTAATCTATCAATATTATTCCACATATACAGATACAAAAAAGTCAGAAAATTTTTTTTTAATTTAAGATAGCTGCAGCTTTGGATTTGCTGTCTCCACAATATATGATACGTTTTCCTAGAAAAGTGTGCCTTTTTTTTTTATGTGAGGCTGCAAAATTAAATATCAAATCGGTTTCGTAATGTGTCTGTGTGTCCGTAAACAAAAACACCTTCTCTTTACTACTCACTGCCATTAACAAAGCTTCACTATTCTGTAAACAAAACTCAGATCCTCTCCTGAGCCGTTGCCAACGGGGCCTAGGGATCAATTGATCCCAGCCCTTCAAATTCATCCTGCGGCCAAGAACGGCCAAGCGGCTTTCAAATTTTTTCCACGCAGCCGAAGGCAATTTTGTTTGCCTTCCCAACAATTCCCTCTCCCCTAACCCCTAATCTCCAGCTTCCTACGAATCCATATCTAATAATATTAACTACAAACAAATCAGCTACACACAGGACTCTAATCCCATCTCTCATCACCGGAAACCCACCATAATTCGCCGGATAATTTAGTCAAACCCGCCGGGCCGGATTTGCATGCTCCGACTCCCAACCCCGTCAACGACGATCTCTCTCACAAGGCTATTCCCACACACAAGGATCTCAGCTTTCGCTTATCTTCCTCCACCTCTCACTGCCTCTCTCTCTCCCTCTATTTCCAACTGTCTCTTTTTTGGCCGCAGGATGAATTTGAAGGGCTGGGATCAATTGATCCCTAGGCCCCGTTGGCAACGGCTCAGGAGAGGATCTGAGTCCTTTGTTTACATGTCATTGTCTCAGTGGGGGACATAGTGGCCATGGCCTTTAGCTTCGGGAGCTGCCGCGTGGTACGGACGAGTGATTTTTCCTCTTCTACTTTTCTTGTTCCCCCCCCTGCATCTTTCTTCCCTACCACATTTAATTCATCTGACTTTCAATGTGAGAAATAGGGCGAGAACTCCAACTTTTGGTTGAGGAAGAAATCCGTGTCATGCACTATCATGTAACAAGAGGATGCCTTTGAGATCCACTCACAACATCTTGTTATAAAGGACCTGTAGTTAATTTTAGGAGATTACCTTCCTAGTTTGTATAGGTGACTATTCCTTCTACACTTCAGATTTTTCTTTTTGGTGTATTGATTACCTTTCTTATTTTATACGCTACCAGGGCAGACGGTTGTAGTCCGGTTTTATGTCTGTTCTATCTTATTTGACTCTTATTCAAACGCTTTAAATTTTATACCTTATAAATAATTTTCGTTGTGATTTCTAATTCAAAGAATTCCGTTGAGATTTCTAATTCAGATGATTCGTTGCATTGCGATTTCTAATTCATCTAATTTAGAGGATTATGTTGCATTGTGATTTCTAATTCAAATAATTATGTTGCGATTTCTAAATCAAAAGGAAATTCCTAATCCAAAGAAAACGCGTACACGGACTCTTTCTCACAAAAGATATTCACCACTAGGAATGAAAATTTATTTCTTATTCAAAGAAAACTCTTATTGGAGGATAAAATCCCATATCGAAAATATAACAAAATAATACACAATTTATACGTGGGAGGTTAACTTCTAATATCAACAATGACTTTTAGTATAAAACTCCAAACCTAGTAATAGGTGGTTAAGTTGGAGACAATATAGATAATTGGCTCGTTTGGATGTGCTTTTAAAATGATTAAAAGCGCTTTTGGTGGAAATGTTTTTGAAACCAATCCTTAGTAAAAATTCAAGTGAATCTTGAAAAAACACTTTAAGTGCTTCCTGCAAGAAGCACATATCTGGTGCTTCTTCCAAGTGCTTTTTGAACTCAAGATCAATTTCACCAAAAGCTCTTTCAGTTATTTTAAAAGCAGATCCAAACGAGTCCAATGTTAGTGATGGGTCATGCTGAGCTTAAAAGCAGGTTATTCTTTGGTACATCATAGCCCTAATTTGCAAAACTTGAATATGCTTCCTTAAGTTGAAAAGTTGCGCTAACTTCAGTTTAGGGGGTTGAATAATGACTAGGTCTTCAAAAAGTTATGTTGGATCTAGTGAATGACCAGACTCTTGAAAAGTTATGTTAGCTCTGTATAATGAATTAAGTAGTTCCTAATGTGGGAATTGGTTTTGGTGTGACCCTGTGTGGGATCATTCACGAGGGGGTGTTGGAGTATAGAGTCCCACATTAAAAAATATAATGAAATAATATACAACTTACATTTAGGAGGTTAACTTTTAAAAACCCCAAGTCTAGTAATATGTGACTAAATTGAGAACAATATTGGTGATGTTGGTAATGATTTATGCTGAGAAATTTGAAAACGTTTCCTTCTTAGAGGTTCAAAATTTTATGCCCTTCTTTTCAAAATTTTAGAATTTTAAATTTTTTTACATGTGAAAAAGACTTGGTTGGCCCTATATAGCTATTTGCATTCAAGCTCCATGGTTGCTCGAGAACAACTCGAGCTCGCCTTGTGAACCACTCGAGCCGATATCGAGTGTTTGTCGAGCAATCTCTTTCATCTAAAGTGTTATATTTGATTGCTGCCATATTTATTTGAGGGGTGCCGAGATGAGTTCGAGCTGTTCTTGATGAGATATCGAACAATGAGAATTACGCAATCCAATTTAAACTATAACGTCAAGTCTTCTTATAAGTAAAGAATAAACAATTCTAGACTTTTAAAAAGATGGGTAAATTATTTTTAAGCCTTTAAAACATGCGGCTTTCAAAGAAAATTTGATTTAAGTCAATTTTGTAAGTTATTATTAGGAATAGTCTATTTTATTGAAATAGGTCTACTCTCATAAGTTTCTAAAGCACTTCTTTATGTTTCAATTTTTGAAGATATGAGGATAAACAAAAATACCAACCAATTGAAAATATTTTATTCATCAATATTATAGACGATGGTAATAAAAATAGAGTAACATAAGTAAGAAATCAATTCATCATTTGTGAAATTTACCCATCCTATGGTTTTGAATCAATAGATTCATCGATCAACTCAAGAGTTGACTGAATTAATATTTGTACATATAGAATATTAGAAATTATAAATAAAGCTCTAAACCTCATGCATAGATTTTTTATTTTATTTTTTATAATCAACCTGTTTCACATGTTAATTATATTTATCTTCTTGTACGACTATTTCTTTTTAATAATGAACCTATATTACATATTAATGTGCCTTACTTGTAAGTATGTTATGTTTTTGTGCGTTTTAGTTAGTCTTATATCTTGCTTATAAGTAACTATCCATTCATGTATTTATTTTTTGAGTTAGGTCATATGTTTTGCTGGTGGGTTTATGTTTGAGTATTAGTTTCTTTCTTGAAAATAAGCCAGTGTTCAAATATTCAAAAAATAAAAAATACAAATTCAAATAGAAAGATGCATAAAATTTGAAAATTTTAATTTATCTATAATATATTTAAAAACATGTAAAATGAATATTAAAAAAAAAATACTAGTCTAAAAAGGTAAAACTGGACCGAACTTAATAGCACGTTGATTTTTTTACTCAAATCTAAATGGCCATTTTCCAAAATTTCCATTGTGTGTTGTGATCAACTGTATGCTTTTGTTTTGTTTTCGACACAAGTCACATCGATTTTTTTTTTCTTCGTAAAAGGATGATAAAGGATTACCCGAATTTAGCTATACATATGACTTGATCATTGGTCTACCATAGTAGTCTTACTCTCTAAGCTCGCATAAGATGGTTAGAAAGAATCAAGACCCCAATATTTAGCCATCAACTACAAAGTAGGCTGCTTCTTTCCTGCTTAGAGCAATTAGAAAGTGTTTACTCCTCGATAGAACGACCCCATGTCCCCTATCTATGTAATTTTATTAAATAAAAAGAGCGATAAAAATAGGGGTATGCTATCCACACACCCCATTTTACTTCTCATACATCCATTGATAATTTCTGTCCGTTAATCTTCTTCAATTTATCTGATCTGACGGTCGAAAATTAAAAAGGTGTGTGAGAGGTGTGTGGATATCACACCCCTAAAAATAAATGTGAAGTCAAGATTTATTGTTTAGCTTCCCTTGTCAAATGTTGTAAATTGTACCACCATGCTCTAATTAGATTTAGGGTTAAAATGCTACTTTGGGATCTTGCTACTGGAAATATCATTTCAAGAGCTTAACTTCATACATCAAAGGTTTGTTTATGCAAATGCATTTCATTATTTTTAATTCATTTTGTCTAGTGGTTCTATCTAGTCAAAACTTCTCGCAACTT